ATTGAACTACAAAAATAAAGACAAAAGCCGGTTGAACCGGGTGATGCTCCCCGAACAGGTTTTGGACACAGGAAGGTTTACCTCTTGTAGTGTCAGAGTTATGTCACAGACAAAGTTCAAAGTGTAACAAGAGGGCCATGATGGCCCTGAAGTCGCTCACCTGTATATAGGTCCCCGGAGCAGGCCAGTTTAAACCCCAGGGCTTTTATGTGAACAAACTTGATAGACACCCATTAGAAGACGTTTCATGCTAAATATCTAAGCTCTAGGTCTTTGAGTTTTTTTTAAAGAAGATGTTAAGTTTTTACTACACACATATAATGAAAAACAATGACCCTGCCCCGGCGGGTCCAATTTTTAACCCAGGGTTTTTATTGAACAATCTTGGTAGACACTCACTCAATGGTGTCTAAACTCTAGCTCTTTAGGTTTTTCAAAAGAAGATTTTTTAAAGTTTTTACTATACACATATATAGAGGATATTGAATGAGTGTAGTTTAATACTAAATTTATTAAAAGGAGTTGAATACAAATCATATTATGCGAGCCTCTGGCGAGCATAATATTGTTTAATTCAACGAGTTTAATAAATTTAGTATTGAATCTACACGAATGTGATATTCTATTTATCACATATATTAAATAAGAACAGTAAACTGTTAAAATGAGTAATTTCTTAATGATGCTCCCATAGTGTAACGCTAACATTAGCGCGCTTTAGCGCTATGTTTCTCTATAGCGCAAATGACGTCACGTCAAAGTTTTATTACACTAGTGTAATACCGTTATTATTAAATGGCTTTATTACACTCCTGCGCCGCGGTTTATGTGATAAAAGAGGATAATCAATTATCCCCCCGGGCAGGGCCAATTTTTACCCAAAGGCTTTTATTTGAACAAACTTGGTAGACACCCATTAGAAGATGTTTCATGCTAAACATCTAAGCTCTAGCTCGTTGGGATTTTTAAAAGATGATTTTTTAAGTTTTTATTATACACATATAGCTAAAAACAATGACACCCCTGGGGCGGGGCCAGTTTTGACCCCAGGGCTTTTATTTGAACAGTCTTTGTAGACACTTACTAGAAGATTTTTCATGCTTTTTATCTAAACTCTAACTATTTGGGTTTTCTCAAAGAAGATTTTTATGTTTTTGATATACACATATTATAAGTTAAAATTAAAATTATAAGTTATGGGCTGGATACAATTTTGCTGCAAGGTCATACTGTGACCTTGAACTTCAAGGTAGTGAGCCAAATGTTGTGCGTCACACGTAGTCTCAATATGGTGATCATTTCTGTGAAATAATTGTAAAATCAGACTTCAAATAACAAAGTTATGGGCCGGACACGATATTGCTGCAAGGTCATGCTGTGACCTTGACCTTTAAGGTAGCCACCCAAATGTTGCTCTCGACACATCGTCTCAATATGGTGATCATTTCTGTAAAATAGTTGTAAAATCCGACTTCAAATAACGAAGATATGGACCGGACACAATTTTGCTGTAAGGTCATACTGTGACCTTGACCTTCAAGGTAGCGACCCAAATGTTGCATGCGACAAGTCGATTCAATATGGTGATCATTTCTGTGACATAGTTGTAAAATCCGACTTCCAGTAACGAAGTTATGGGCCGGACACGATTTTTCTGCAAGGTCATGCTGTGACATTTATCTCCTAGGTGGCGACCCAAATTTTGCGCATGACACGTCGTCTCAATATGGTACTCATTTCTGTGAAATAGTATTTAAATCCAACTTCACATAACGATGTTATGGACCTGACATGATTTTGCTGCAAGGTCATGCTGTTACATTGACCTTCAAAATAGCGACCTAAATGTTGCGCGCAACAAGTCGTCTCAATATGACGATCATTTCTGTGGAATAGTTTTAAAATCCGACTTCAAATAACAAAGTTATGGGCCGGTCACGATTTTGCTGCAAGGTCATGCTTTGACCTTGGCCTTCAAGGTAGCGACCAAAATGTTGCGCGCGACACGTAGTCTCAATATGGTGATCATTATAGCTTTAAAATCCGACTTCAAATAATGAAGTTATGGACCGGACACGATTTTGCTGCAAGGTCATGCTGTGACCTCGACCTTCAAGGTAGCGACCCAAATGTTACACGCAACACGTCGTCTCAATAAGGTGATCACTTCTGTGAAATAGTTTTAAAATCCGACTTCAAATAACAAAGTTATGTGCCGGACACGATTTCGGGACGTACGTACAGACGGCCTGACGGACGGACAACCTGACGACTATATGCTCCCCCCCCCCGAAATTTGTCGGAGCATAATAACTTTTAGGAGTTTAATAATTTTTAACATTATTTCTTCTTTTTTTTCTCAGTTAGTTTTTTTCCCCCCAACCCACTTCTACTCGTCTGAGATAAATGCTAAGGTAATATTTTCTTATGCTTAACTTAACAAGAAATTTTCAAATGATCAAAGAACATACAATGTATACCCAATTTCCTTTATATTAAACTGAAATTGTAAAGTAAAGGAAAGTTAAAGGAACATGTAATTTTAATTTACTTTTCGGTAATTTAACCCCCACCCACTTTTGACACAAATGCTCAATAATAATTCTTTACGCTTAAATTGTCGAGCTATGCTAAATTAATAAAGTACACCCAATTTAAATGCATTTTCATTTACATTGTGTAAATACCGTAAAACGTAAGTCATAAAATTATCAAAAAAGTATATTTTATCACTTTTTGTTTGGTAAACTGATAGTGATAATTTTGAAGTTGGCCATATCATTGTCAATTTTGCTTTATTAATTCATAAATAAGACATATTTTATCTGATACTGTGCAATTAAAACTCTTTTGTACAAAGTCCTAAAGTTAAAAGTCAGGAAACAAAAGCTATACGTATTTTGTAATTTTCGGCGGCCATATTTGCGGCCATCTTGACTTTTTGTACTTTTGCCCGGGCTGCACACCTTAATTTTTTTTATAGAAACTACAGACTATATGTTTTATAATGGAAATGTTTCAATTTGCGATAAAGTAAATTGCAATAAAACCCCACCATCTCTTGGACTATCAACTATTATAACCAAAGTAATACGAGACTAAATAGTGATTCCTAGGAAGCATTAACCACACCAAAATTACATGCAAACAAGAACTTGTAACAGAGTTACCAACGTCCCCCGCCTCGGGGAATGTTTATACAAGCATAAAATTGTGCTATTTCAAAAGATTGAGGTATGGATCTCAGGACTTTCAGTCCAAACTTATGATCAATGCTAGATCTGCAAATGCAACAATAAATTTATTAAAAAAATAAAATGAAACACGGAATTTAAATATTTATCATGTAAAGCTTTGACCTCTAAGTGTGACCTTGACCTTGGAGGTAGGGATGTAGGTGTTATGCATGACATATCGTCTTTTTATTGTTACTATCTGTGCCAAGTATTTTCAAAATCCTTGAACTATGAAGAAGTTATAGATCGGACACCAAATATACCCTATAACAGAGTATGTATATCTTTGACCTCTAAGTGTGACCTTGACCTTGAAGGTGGGGACACAGGTGTTACGCATGACATATCATCTTATCATTGTGACTAATAGTGCCAAGTATTTTCAAAACCCCTTGATATATGAAGAAGTTATGGACAGGACACAAAATATACCATATTACAGACTGTTAACCTTTGACCTTTAAGTGTGACCTTGACCTTGGAGGTAGGGGTGCAGGTGTTGTACTTGACATATCGTCTTCTTATTGCCTAGTTATTTCAAAATCCTGAAGAAGTTCTTGATCGGACATAAGATACAATGTATACCATAAAACAGACTATGTTAATTTTTGACCTCTGTGACCTTAAACTTGGAGGTAAGGATGCAGATGTTTTGCATGACACATTGTCTTATTATAGTGACTATTTGTGGCAAGTATTTACAAAATCTTTCGATCTATGAAAAAGTTATGGACTGGACACAAAATATACCCAATAACAGACTATGTTAATCTTTGACCTCCAAGTGTGACCTTGACCTGAGAGGTAGGTGACCAGTTGTTGCGCATGACACATTGGCTCATTATTGTGAACAATTGTGGCAAGTATTAACAAAATCTCTTCAAAGATAAGAAAGTTATGGACCGGACACGACACATACCCTCAAATAGACAATGTTGACCTTAAATGAGCAAGTGTGTCCTTGACCTTGGGGGTAGGGGTCTGGTTGTTGCGCATGACACATTGTCTTATTATAACAAACATTTGTGCCAAGTTATTTCAGATTCCTTTGATAAATGACAAACTTATGGACCGGACACGAAAGTGTGACGGACGGACACACGGTCGGACGGACATTCCAACATTTTGGGTTTAGGGGCTATTGTCTTTGTTATTTTCTTTGTTTTCTTAAGGACTACTAGCCCATAAGCCCTTTGATCAAGGAATTAACCTATTGTTCTCTTTTGTTCTCTTGACTGTTATATAGCCCCTACACCCAAAATGTTTGCTCGAACAGACAAACGGACGGACGGACATGCCACTAAAATAGACTAAAGGGCCATTTCTTTTGTTATTTTCTTCTGTTTAATAGGGGCCATGGCCCCTTATTCTATTGTAACGGAATGAACTCTATTGTTCTCTCTTGTTCTGTTTACAGTTAGATGGCCTTTTAGTCCATTTTAGTTGCTCGGACGGACAGACAGACGGACGGAGCCTATTTCTATATCCCCATTTTTTCTTCGAAAAGGCGGGGGACAATTACAGATTCGGTTTGATTGAGTCTGTACATGAAGTGCAAAATCTCTGACACCCCCTAGCACTTGATCTAGAATGATTTTGAAAATATGTTAAAGGTGCGATCCCTCAAGAGCAATCAACGCTATTATAAGAAAGTAACAGTTGTAGATCGTAGGTTATTTGATTGCTGATGACCGGTATTTTCTTACCGAATTTTGATAAGTCTCTTCATTAGAGTTAAGATGTGTTCAAAATAAAATATCTTACTTGATTGTCCTGCTTCTTCAATTCATCTTCCTCCATATGGACAATTGTATAACGAAATGTGTCGGAAAAATTAACTCCGAGAATGTAGTTGACCATCCCGTCTAACATTGTACTCTTTCCTGCTCCAGTTTCACCAACAAGCATAATTGTCTTCTCATTCCCTTCAAAGTTTCTGTTCATCGTTCCTATAAAAACCATTTACACAAATTTTCACTTATTGACCTGACAGAAAAATGAAACCGAATCATTATACTTCATATTTCTGGGCAATAAATGGTTCATTTGTTATAAAAAGAATGACTGCATGTCACGTAAGGTGAAATCCAATGTAACTTAGTAAAACAACTCCATATCTTGAAATAAACATTGACATGGTTTAAAATGGACAGGATTGCTTTTAAAGCGGGGTGCCTAATTGTATATATTGAAGACACAGCATCGTACAGTGATAAAATACATTAGTTCCCTTGGACGGTGAATTGAAGTTTACATTACAACACTCAGGCATCAATAGACGTATTATTATTATATTGAGCCAATCAACTTTACTGCTTTTATTAGCTGTGAAAACGATGCATCACCCATGATATATGAATAGAGCGTGCACAGTGCAACCCGAAGAATAATACCGTCCGGTAAACTCAATTGTTAGAGCCTTAGACTGTTAATCGGGTGACTGGACCGGATTGTTCAAACATTGGTTAAAATTAACAAATGTATAGCTTATCCACTGGTTAAATCCTTAACCAGCGGCCAGGTATACAGTGGATAAAATTTCATTGTTCGACAGTTGGATAGTACCCTGGCTACCTAACCAGTGGATTGTGTATTTATCCACTGGTAAAGTACCATAATGCAACAGGGCCGATTTATTGATGAATTAAAAAATTAATTTGAATCAGGAAGCTCCATTTGAATTTATTTTGCATGTTTTGTGCTTTTATGTGAAAAAGTATATCAAAGGCCTTAAAGTATCGATATATATATTTTTCCCATAAACACACATAAGAAATTTAAAAAAAAAACTTTTTTTTTCAATTTTGTGCTGAAATTACTTCTATTAGATGGGTAATGTTCTACTTAAAAAAATGAGTACTGACACTTGTATGTTCAATTTAAGAATAAGAAAATTATGACTGTTTAACTGAATTTTCTACACTACAACAACAACAAATTTTGATTGAAAAAGGGTTCTAAAAGCAATTTTTCAAGAATGTTTCAATTTAATCCTATGCATTTCATATGAAATATTCTATTTAATAAAAAATAAACATATATTTTTTAAGAAAAATATGCTTTTAAACAAGTTTTAATGATTTCTACTGTTTTAATGATGATGGCTAACCACTGGTTAGGGACATTATTTGGTGGTCATAGGACTAGTTAAAGTTAATCACTGGATAATGCATTTTATCCGTTAGATAACTTTTGAACTACAGAATTTATCCAACAGACACATTTTAGCCAGTGGTTAGTGATTTTATCCGTTGGTTATCACTAACCAATGTTTTAAACAACCGGGTCATTGATAAATTGAAACATGAATGGAAAGAGAACGCTGACTTTAGAAAAGAAAAAGACGTGCATAATCTCAAGACTGCCATCTACCAATATTTCAAGTTTCATAAAAATATTTTCAGTACTTTTTGCATTATCAAGGGATCCAGTTTTTAAGTTACATTTGCAATATTTTCGGTCTAGTTGTTGCCATAGCAACCAAACTTTTCATAAAAGGAAGCAAAGAAAAAAACGTGCATAATTTCCAGACTGCCATCTATCCATATTTAAAGTTTCATAAAAATATTTTCAGTACTTTTTACGTTATCACAGTACCGAGTTTTGTCGGACGGACGGACAGACAAACAGGTAAACCTAAAGCCCCCTCCGGTTAAACCAGTAGCGAATTAATAACCGTCATCACAAATAAATGAAGCTCAAAATGATAATTTTGCCTAACAAACGCCTCTTTTTATAAGAAATATAAAAATCCGTTTAATACTTAAGATTTGTAGCAATAATTAAAAGAACCTTTTCTTACAAGATATTATAACATAGAAGATAATTCATATTTCATTTACGAGTATCTTATAATATAAACCATTATAGAAACAAAGCTAGATCGATCCCCTGACCCATTGGCCTCATCCGAGCAATGTCTTAGACAAGCATTCTGACCAAGTTTGAGGACAATGGAGTACACAATGTGAACTCTAGAGTGTTTACAAAGTTTATGTATATTTGGGCAGTGTGACCTAGTTTTTGACCCCAGGTGACCAATCTTAAAACTTGATCTAGAAATCATCAAAATAATTTTCAGACCAATTTCCAGGATACTTGGATCCTTACAGTAGCCACTAGGGTGTTAAAATATTTTTATACTTTTAGCTCCAGTGGATTAGTTTTTGATCAGAGAAGACAAATATTCGTACTTGATCTAAAAATCATCAACAAAATTTTCCTGACAAATTTCTAGAGTATTTGAATCAAAACAATATATTTCTATATTTAGCTCCTCTGACCTAGTTTTAGACCAAAAATAACCCGTATTTAAACTTGACCAAATAATCATCAAACAATTTCCGGATCAATTTCCAGGATATTTGGATCAAAACTGCAGTCACTCGAGTGATAACAAGCTTTTTCTACTTTTCGCTCCTGTGACCTAGTTTTTACCAGAAATGACCTATATTCAAACTTGACCTAGAAATTAAACAAACAAATTCCTGACCAACTTCAAGAACATTTGGCTCAAAACTACAGCCATTAGAGTGTTAAAAAGATTTTCCTATTTTTAGCTCATGAGACCTATTTTTTGACGGAAACGACCCATATTCGAACTTAACCTTGATATCATGAAAACAACTTTCCTGACAAATATCCAGAATATTTCAATCAAAACTGTAGCAACTAGAGTGTTAAAAAGATTTTTCTATTTTTAGCTCCTGTGACCTAGCTTTTGACCGGAAATGACCCAGAAATGACCTAGAAATTACACAAACAACCTTTCTGCCCAACTTCCAGAACATTTGGTTCAAAACTGCAGCCAATAAAGTGTTACAAAGATTTTCTATTTTTAGCTCCTGTGACCTAGTTTTTGTCCGGAGACGACCCATATTCGATCTTGACTTTGATATCATCAAAGCAACATTCTTGACAAATATTCAGAATATTTGAGTCTGAACTACAGCCACTAGAGTGTTAAAAACATTTTTTTCTATTTTTAGCTCCTGTGACCTAGTTTTTGACCGGAAATGACCCATATTCAAACTTGACCTAGAAATCATCAAAGCAACATTTCTGACCAATTTCCAGGATATTTGGATCAAAACTGCAGCCAGCTAGGAGTGTTAACAAGCTCTTTCTATTTTCAGCTCCTGTGACCTAGTTTTTTGACCCGAGATGAACCATATTCGAATTTATCCTGTATGTCATTGAGAAAAACATTTTGACAAAGTTTGAGTATGATCCAATAAAAACTATGACTGCTAGAGTGTTAACAACCCAATTGTTGACGACGCTTGATGCACGACGACGGACGCCGAACATAGCCCCATCCATATACCTCACCTTGCAAACGTACAACAAGTATTAAAGTTCAAGAAATAAAGGAAAATAACATACTAATAAACTAGTATCCATACAAAGATTTTGAATGCGCCGGTTTGTTCAGGAGAAGCTGCGCTTTGACTTCTTAACATTGTCTCAGTTCTCTTTAAATGTATACCAAACAGTTAAAAATTTTCTTATTTTCGGTTTAAAACATACACGAAACATTTAATTTATACATAGTCTTACTGTGGCATTGACCTTGACCGATGAATCCAGACATTGCAATCGGCGCACCGTCTTATCATGGTTAATATTTCTGCCAAGTAATTTCAATTTCCTAGGACGGGCGGACGACCAGTTGTATCACATTAAACGCCAACTATTTTTTTTGGGAGCAAAAATAGAAATTTACCAAAACGTCGAATGAAAATATTTGAATGTCATCATGTTAAATGAAAATGTGATCCATTTTTCACGAAGAACGAAATTACATTCTTTCTATTTATCTTTTGCACAAATAAAAAACAATATCTTAAAACAAGAGGCCCATGATGGCCCTAGATCGCTCACCTGACACATCAAACTCAACAATTACCTAGACAAGCATTCTGACCAAGTCTCATGACAGGTGAGTCAAAAATGTGACCACTACAGTGTTAACAAGGATTATCCATATTTGAGCAGTGTGACCTAGTTTTTTAACCCAGGTGACACATATTCAAACTTGACCTAGAAATCATCAAAACAAACTTTCAGACCAATCTCCATGATACTTGGATCAAAACAGTAGCAACTAGAGTGTTAACAAGATTTTTCTATTTTTAGTTCCGGTGACCTAGTTCCACATGCAATTTCAAACTCATCCGAGCAGTTACCTACACAAGCATCCTGACCAAGTTTGATGATAATTGAGTCGAAAATGTGACCACTAGAATGTTAACAAGGTTTTTCCATATTTGGGCGGTGTGACCTAGTTTTTCATCCAAGATGACCCATGTTCGAACTTGACTTAGAAATCATCAAAACAAACTTTCAGACCAATTTACAGAATATTTGGATCACAACAGTAGCCACTAGAGTGTTAACAAGATTTTTCTTTTTTTAGCTCCGGTGACCTAGTTTTTCATCCGAGATAACCCATGTTCGATTTAATCCCAGCAATGACCTAGACAAGTTTTCCGACCAAGTTTGATGACAATTGAGTCAAAATTGTGACCACTAGAGTGTTAACAAGGTTTTTCTATTTTTAGCTTCTGTGACCTAGTTTTTCATCCGAGATGACCCATGTTCGAACTCATTCGAGCAAGTACCTAGACAAGCATCCTGATCAAGTTTGATGACACTTGTGTCAAAAATGTGACCGCTAGAGTGTTAACAAGGTTTTTCTATTTTTAGCTCCAGTGACCTACTTTTTCAACCGAGATGACTCATGTTCAAACTCATCCCAGCTTTCACATAGACAAGCATCCTGACCAAGTTTGATGATGATTGCGGCAAAAATGTGACCGCTATAGTGTTAATAAGGTTTTTCTATTTTTAGCTCCGGTGACCTACTTTTTCATCCGAGATGACCCATGGTCAAACTCATCCGAGCTATTAACTAGATAAGCATCCTGACCAAGTTTGATGATGATTGAGGCAAAAATGTGACCGCTGGAGTGTTAACAAGGTTTTTCTATTTTTAGCTCCGGTGACCTAGTTTTTTCATCCGAGATGATCCATGTTCGAACTCATTTGAGCTATCACCTAGACAAGCATCTTGACCAAGTTTGATGATGATTGGTGCAAAAATGTGACCGCTAGAGTGTTAACAAGGTTTTTCTATTTTTAGCTCCGGTGACTTACTTTTTTATCGGAGATGACCCATGTTCGAACTCATCCGAGCTATCACCTAGACAAGCATCCTGACCAAGTTTGATGATGATTGAGGCAAAAATGTGACCTCTAGAGTGTTAACAAGGTTTTTTCTATTTTTAGCTCCTGTGACCTAGTTTCTCATCCGAGATGACCCATGTTCGAACTCATTGGAGCTATCAACTAGATAAGCATTCTGACTAAGTTTGATGATGATTGAGGCAAAAATGCGACCGCTACAGTGTTAACAACTAAATGTGAACGGACGACGGACGACGGACAATCATCGATCCTAAAAGCTCACCTGAGCATGCTCAGGTGAGCTAAAAACAACAACAAAAACAACCTTTCTTGGTATGGAACTATATTCGTAAAGCGGGAGTGGCACTTTATAGTTATCGCAGCCTTCTTGAACTGTGTTAAAACATTTCAAGAATTGTTATTTTAATTTTAGATAATGGAATGAAAAATTAAAGCTTCTGACTGTCCGAGAAAAACAAAAAAGAAAGTTGTCCCTTAAAGTAAATATGAATTTTGACTCACTTTCACATGTATATTTCATATTTGTTTGTAACAAATATGAAGTATATAAGACTGATATAGCACCATATTTCATAGGTAAATAAATCATTATAATTATTGCGGAGTTAAATAACCCCGTTATCAACTACTTAATAATATGGCTCAAAAGGGCAATTTTTAACTCAAAAAGGCACTTTTCTTTCTTTCTTTTTTTTTTTAGAAACCTGTTTAAATAGGCGATACCTCAAAATCCCTTTGTGGATTTTAATAACTCTTAATGATCGCTGTTCCGCAATACATATTTTATACAAACAACATAGATACAGTTTCGTAAATAGGACCCCTGACAAACGCACGCATTTTCGGGGTTTGGGGCTTCATGTCGTATTTTTCCACATTAACCAGTGAACATGTCAACTCTGGGTCTCTTTTTTGTAAACTTCAATTGCTATCGCAATGAAGTAAATACATCAATGAATCAACGACTTTGCTAAAGGTTTATCAAAGTAGCAAGAGAGGTGATTTGCGTTCAGGCTATAATATTACGTATTAATAATACTGAATACTTGCATCAGCCTGTCAACATCACATAACATTTCTTCACCACTAAGCAGATGGAACGCGCTTTTGTTACATAACCTATCTCACTGGACAAATGTTTGTTTCAATCACAATAAATCTTGTTTTCAAATACTTTGCAATCATTAGCAAATTACAGTATGTGCATTATTAATGGCTGCACGTTAAAAATGAAAACCAGGAAAAAGCACAGTACTTGTATTTAGATTTTACATTTACATATACTTTTTATTTATGAATTGATATATACATTATATCTATTCTATTAAACATGGAACACAATGCAGAATTAAACCCTTAACCTCATATTTACGTCAAAACACCCAATTTAGGCATCAAATAGTGAAAAAATGTCCTATTTAGGCCCACAACACTTGTTTTCGACTGCGAAAAATGTTATAAGATGCCAAGAAGATTTTGTAAGATAAAATTGGCCTCAGGTCGATTCGGAGGTAACGTGTAACAAACGCTGAAAAACATTTGATTCTATCTCAATCCATTGAGAAGTTGTAGCACTTTGAAATAAGTTTGGGCAAAATAGTTAATTTTGGCAATTTTGAGATGTCGCCTCGTTGCCATGGAAACAAAAAAATTCAAATTGAGAAGGTCGTTACAAAGGCTATGTTCCACTATGTTCCAGTCAACATTTGTGCCAAGTTTGATGAATATTGAAGCATCTTCTATAGTTTCATAGCAATCTGAACTTGTAACACGAGGCTTTTCTTTTCAATGATAACAGCCATTTTTCACAAAATGCTCATGCAGTAATGGGTTAAAATAAGTTGTTAAGCAAAATACTTCAATCACCGGTTCGTTAGTTGATGTTAGGTAAATAATGCATTGAAACAATGCAAAGTAATATTTGCAATAATGACATGCCCTTTAACTTTAAAACTTGCGGCGATATTTGGCTGTTCTTCTGTCATTTATTTCCCTCTTATACGAAACATTTTTATAGGATGAGATTTTGTAAAGCGCTTTGTCACTTCTAGGATGTTTTAGAATGCTGGTGAACAGGGTCAGACAACAAATGAGTAATCGGTATTCTGAAACTGAAATTGAGCAACGTACACATGATGATAAGCACAAACAGGCTCTTCAAGATAAAATACAAATAAGTTACATGTATATGGACAAAAAATAACTATGGGTATTACGCATACAAACTATTTCTACAGAGGACGAATGATTAAAAGATGATACCAGAAGATTCATTCGGGATAAGATATTTAGCAAATTGGTATTAATATTTTCTATTTAAAAGCTATAGCATAGGATTCTACAAAACAACGGATATTTATAAATTTTAATTCTCGCGTAAATCTTTTTGAATAATTGGGCTAAAATGATAGTCACGCTAATATAACACAATTATGTTTAACAATTTAATATTCATACACTCACCATGTGTGGCCTTCAATGGTTATTCCCAGCATAAAACTTAACAGCTTCAACAAAATATTTGTCCGCATCCATTGATACTCGTTTTATTAAATTTAATAACTTTGTAATTTATCAGTGCATGTCGTGTACATGACTTCGATACGAAACACCTTTCATGATACTTAATATATATTTTGTATTGACATGGACTGTACCACAAGTTCATATATAATAGCGAAGATAGTTTCGTTAATACAGGTTAAAGGATAGAACAAAATATTACATGTGAAAATGCTTAAAAGCTTCGAAAATGAAAAGAAAAACGTTTAAGTGACATACCTAACTCAAACTTCTGTGTCATTGCATCATTATTTCTAGAATTCTCAACTTGGGTAATTGGTAGTGAACGCCGTTCTGGTGTGCCTTTTTGTACAATTGCTGAAAATTCTTTCAATCTGACAGCAGGAGATTCCACGGTTTTGACAATATCACTACTCGGACTGTAGGGTCCTTCCTCGTCGTCAAATACAGCACGCACGCGAAAACAAAATGATGTGTTTGACTTTAAATTTGTGAGCTTCATCATGTTTTGGTTTATCTCTGTCGTATGTATCTTCCATTTGCTGTTTGGTACGTCTGTCATTTTGTAGCTGAGTTGATATGTATATGTTTGTTTAGGATCATCAGGCTCTTTCCATTCAATCGTCAGTGAATCAGATCCAACATTTACTATCTCTGGCTTTCCAGGCGCTTTCTGTAGAAATGGTATAAAAATTCATTATCCCATTTTTTCTGACAGTTAAATTACTCGGACATCATATATTTAAAAAAACAAGCAAGATACGAACTGGTAATGTTGTATTATTAACTGTTTAATTAAAAAAAACTGTAAACCTTTTACGCTAAGATAAATATTAAAGAATGTGCTGGACTTGCAAATTGATATTGAAGTCTTAAACGTTACATCACATTTTACAATAGAAGCGAGCATATCTCCTTTTACTTTAATCATCATTCGACTATATCTCAGCTATTGAAATATGTTACCTCCACTTGTTTAATATTCATAATGAATGGATGATCGAGCTCAAAATATTAACATGAGATGACAATATTACGTCATATATAAGTTTGCTTTAAACAATGAATTAAGGTAGACCATGGGTAATGCATTACCTCCACTTTGAAGAGTATGCAAATAGGCTAGAATCGCTTGCAAACTTCATTGAAATTAAGGGGCGTGGGTTCAAACCCCATAAGGGGCAACTTTTTTTCTTTCTTTTTTTTCTTTTTAACATTATTTATGATCCCTTATGGAAGAAAAAAGGGTTTGATTATATAAAAATTATATAAAATTGTATGCATTTATTTGCTAAATAATGCCAAAGTTTATAGTAACTATGATACCAGATATTTTCAAAGTTTAATAAAATAAAAACTACACGGTAAAAGTATTTTATATTTCGCATGATCAACCAATATACCTTTAAAAAAATTTAGGCAAACTTTGAAAATAGCCCCTCATTATGGTAAATTTTAGGAATATTTTGAATAAGGCATTTTGATTGTAAAATGGTAAAATTAGTGTTTAAAGTGGGTGGGGTAGGGTAACATTTTTATACATATTCAGAGCATTTTGCTTAGAAACAAACATTTTGCTTGTGTAATTTGTTACCTGAATGTTATTATTTGTTTCTTAACAATGGGCAATAGAAAAACATTTTTTATAATGATTATACGTATTACTGATTATTTAGAGTTTCCTAATTTCTGAAAATAAGCCCTTCTAATGGCAAAGTCTTAGTTTAGAAATATATCCCTAACTCATAAACCACACGGTAATTTTTATTTAAATTTTGCATACAGGTGACTTTGAAGACATATAACTGTCCTATGTTGTCAATTTTACAGTTCCTTATGGTGCCAATTACCCATGGTCTACCTTAAACGACTATGAAAGTGAAAATAGATTCGTTATAGTGTATTGAAGTGAATGCTCTTCACCGTAATACGCGGAGTAATAATACGTAACTATTCGGATACATTTGGACACCATATTTTAAAATTGTATCATATTCATGGTGAAATTTATATGATGTTTGATTGAATAATTATAAATTGGATAAAATAAACAAACGGTTTAGCAGGAAACGATAAACTTAATTTAGAACTGATACATGTATATATGAATATTTATTAAATACTAGTGGACAAATGTGTAAGGTTGAGTGGGTGATTTATGTATTCTCTGGCATTTAACTTTAAAGATTAACCCAAAGACCTTGTGTTATTGCTCGAAAACTCTATAAATGTATGTTTGCTCGAAAACTCTATAAATGTATGTAACCGAATGTCTTCAAAAGCAAACTTGAATGTTGAAGTATCTGTTATTATTCGAAGATATAAAAGTCAATTTAATGGAAAAAAAGTCCATATTCTGACGAGTAAACATGAATATGATAAATAATTATATTGGTTTTATCTACAAGGGCGAGACTAAAGTGATGTAGGATTTGTTAAAAATATCTATGTTGCAAGTGTGTTCCCATGAGACTATGTAGAATAAATGCAGAATAAATGACCACTACAGCAGGGTTAATTTTGATGGAACAATTTTTTCTTTATAACTTTTGTGAACGAATACATAGAATGTCACATGCAAAATATGTCAGGTGTTTACAGTTTGGGACAAAAAACTTTTTATACATCCTATATGGTAGAACATCTGTTCAAAAAAAAATACAAAAGACCAAACAAGAAAGTAGGTGAAATCTTTCAAAAATATAATTAACATCTCAACTGATACTAAAATTCAATTATGCACATGAAACATCAGGCAAATTTTATTGAAATATGCTTTCTCAAAGTTTGAATCCAATTCAACAAAAATTGACAAAAAACAAACATTTTTTAACAAAATTCAATAAAAAAATAGAGCATCTCTGTTTGTAAGATACAAGAAACAAATGTAATCTTTGTTTAGGCCTATTTTTCCTGAGTACACTGACCTACAAATGATGCAATCAATGGGAGTCCGAATTCTAGAGCTAAATGTTATTTGATGATTTTAATTAATTGTTACCTAGCAAACAAGATTGCAAACACAACACTAAATTATAAGCTAACAAGACTGCACACACAATAAATTATAGTACCACAAATATATTTTGCCATAGTGAGTTTTGGGGTCAGGGTCTTATTTAAGCATTCAAATGAAAAACAATGTACAGATATGTTTTCTGTTCAGATACAAAGATTGATTCAATGTAAAAAGCATTCTTAATTCACAAAAAATAAGCATTTACTGTATAACATAGCTGTACACTGTCTTTTCAATTAAGTATTACCTATTTCTGAAAACATTTACAATTTGAAATCATCATTAGTGACAGGGTGTTGTTAATCATTATGTATATGTTAGTTTTCTTTCATGCAGTTCTACAGAAAGGCAATGATAGTGACAGGAGAATGGTTCTAATTTCTGTAGAACAGCTATGGATAAATACTAATATATTAAGTGTCAAGCTTTATTTGTCATCCTATGAATATGCTGCATTTCTTAAAAATTGTGTGTGTTAATTTTCATAGAAGAACAAACGTTGATACTATATCAAAATCTTGTCATAGAAGCCTTCTTTCATCATAGTGTGTCATAGAACCGCGTTAATAAAAATAGACATGTAGTGATGTAATTATGTGAATATGAATGAAACCAAATAAAGCTTGATACTAAGTCCTTATAAAGTGCTCAAGTTATTTCATAAATATGATTTCTCTTGCCAGAGGTCATGACCTCAAATAATTTCATCAGCAAACAGGTTATTCACATGTATGAAAGACATTCCAACATGTGTTGTTTCCCTTTCATTAAACTATAATTAGCTCGTTTTTGTTTTGTTTTTTTTTTTGAAAAAAAAAGTAGAGGTATTGTTATAGTCAGGCCGGCGTTGCCGTTGCCGTTGCCATTGCCGTTGCCGTTGCCGTTCCCGTCCGCAAACTTGTACCTGGATCATAACTTTTTTATTTCTTGGTGTATTGTCTTCATACTTGGCCACAACAACCCTTGGGACAAGACCTTTCAGTAGACCACACTAACCTTGACCTTCATCCATAATAAATGACCTTGACCTTCAAGGTTAAAAGTCCAATTTTTGCTTGTTCATGCTGTTATTGGCTGTAACTTTGTTATTTTTGAATGGATTGTCTTCAAACTTGAACATAATAATCTTCAAGGATATCCCTTAAAAATAACTTACCAGACATTGACCTTCACTCATAAATGTCCTTGACTTTGAAGGTCAAATTATTGAAATTTTCATTTTTTTTGGCTATTATTGGCTGTAACAAGTTCTTTAGTATCTAAAGGTTAATATAATATTTAGCTCCCTTGACCCCTAATACTAATAGCTCACCCTAATCCATCGGTTCTTGTGAGCTAATTAATAAATAAGTAAATAAATTTTCACCGTATAAAACCCTGTTGAAGAAAAGACCTTGCACTTAAAAAAAAGTATTCTGAATATTCAATGTGCACTCCACATGTAAAACAATGTGATTATCATATAACTTCGAATTAAGGTTACTGTAATTGTTTCTTGAACAAGTATGATGCACAGTAGAGAATCGTTCACCTGTTACGAAATATGAAGGGACTAAGGGGATTAAAACATTTTCTTAATGTTTGTTTTAATGGTATTGGTGATTAATGTATATTAAATTTATTATTTTTGCCTTTATAAACTAAAACTAAATTTGGAATTTGTGTCCAAAGCGGGACTAAATCTATTTCTGTTAAGATGCTGATCTTGTAACGACCGGTTTAACCGAATGGGATTTTAGGTTTACCCTCCGTCCGTATGTCCTTCTGTCTGTCTGTCAGTCCGTCAGTCCGTCCGTCCACAAAACTGGATCCCCCGATAACACAAAAAGTACAAAAAACATTTTTATGAAACTTGATAAATGGATAGATGGCAGTATGGAGAATATGCACGTCTTTTTCCTTTGTTCCTTTGTCTGAAAATATGGAAAATTTAACACATAAACTGGATCCAGTCTGAACTCCAAAAGTACTAAAAATATCTTTTATAAAACTTGAAATATGGGTAGACGGCAGTCTGGAAATTATGCACATCTTTTTCTTTTCTTCCTATGTTAAAAATTCTGGTTGCTATGGCAACAAATAGTCTGAAAATATGGCAAGTTTAACACATAAACTGGATGCAGTGTTTACTCCAAAAGTGTTGAAAATATTTTTATGAAACTTAAATATAAGTAGATTGCAGTCTGGAGATCATGCACGTCTTTTTCTTTTCTTCCTATGTTGAAAATTCTGGTTGCTATGACAACAAATAGCCTGAATTTCAAGATTTCTGATTTAATTTTCAGCTTTTTCACTATAAGTTCTTTATTAATTAAGGTGTTTACTTCAAACTTTAAATATAAGTTTCTGGTCATCAACCACATCATATGTGACAAGGTTTACAACTCTAGCACAAAAATTATCAGTATAACCTCCCTTGAACTTAGAATTTTTATGAAAAAAATGTTGGCTTCTTTATTTCCTAATGTATCTACTCCAAACTTCATATATATGTTTCTTATTATCTCTCAACATTTTTGAGAAGGTTAAATACTCTAGCAAGTCTATTTCCAGAAGTATGTCCCCCTTGAACTTTTTTCGAGAAATTGGTATTTTTTACTCCAACTTCTTCATTCCTTATAGGATTTACTTTAAAATCCCACATTGTAATAAAA